TTATGGGTCTTTCTCCCAATTTTTTTAAGAGTTTGGATTTCTCGATTTGATTTTGAATTGTTAACTGATAGTTATTTGTGATGTTGGAACTGTGTTGTGGAAAGGTAATGGGCCAGTCGGAGAGCGATTTATTTTCAAGCTTATACTACATTAAAAAGCTTATTTAAAAGGGCATTCATTAATTAACTCAGTTCCGATTGAACCCTGAAGCTAAGCCAAGTCAAACAATCATAATTTTGAATGATTCAAAACTATCTGGTTCAAAAGTCCTTTACTTGCACAGCTACTTTTATGTACAATTATTTATACAGTAGAGTTAAGAATATTAATTTCTATTGATTCTGTGGATTAATTCTTGATTTGATTTCAATATGTGCATATTGGGCCTAATGGCGTAGTTGGGGGAAAGGAGGAACTTGGTGATGGAAAGGTTTTATTAAAGAAATTAAAATGTCAAAAAAATGTTGCGTTTGATTGCTTAGTCTGTTAATCATATTATACAAATGAGATTGATTACATATGGAGTCCATACTTCCCACATATTTCTTCAATGCATCAGGTTTTAAAAAACCAGGCAGGAGGTTACGCATTTTAAATGATTATTCTTTAATCAGACTGCTATGGTCATTTTCTTGTAGCCTTGAATAGTCTAATCTTTGCCATGTATAAAATAATTTGTAAATTGTAATTTTATGCTCCCTCTCCATCTTCTTTTTTACTTTACGCCAGAAATTCCCTTTTGCCAGTTTTTAGAATCATAACCATAATCCGTTGTGAATCTTTGCTTTCCATTACTTTACTATTTGTAGTTCTATACCCTTTGTTTGCCATCCAATCAGCAGCTGCATAACTTTGTAGCTTTTCCATTCATATATACATGTAGTGTATATGTAATATTTTAAACTCTAGCTACTTCGTAAAAACTCATTCTGATTCTGTAATCTTCTCAATGTTGGAAAATAATATACATAGTTATGTTGCCATTGTAGAGGTGTACTTCGTGTTTCTCAAAACTAAATATGCTTTCCTTGTGTCTGTCTTTATATATGAAATGGAATTGGCCATCGAACGGTAACCTTTTTTGTCATCGTGTTTACTTTTGGAATTTATACCTCAGCCATTGAATCGATCAAATTCCATATGATTGCATTTGTTTTCCTTTGTGACGCGTAGATTTCTTTAGGTTGTTTCTTTTGGGATTGTTTATAAATTGATATAAATAAGTAGTTGATAAGTAGGTAATAGTTGTAGGTGCTACAAGAATGAGAGGATAAAAAGTTGGTTTTACCAACTCAATTTATAATTTAAACAATTCCAAACATGTTACGAGTTCTTCAATTTGCTTTCTGATTGTGTATACTTAAAGAAGTTGCAGGTATCAAATTAAATGTTGTGGCTGCTATCCAATAATTTTTATTTCTTGGAAAGTACCATTGAGTTATGCTTAGTGTCCCATGAAGTGAAAATATCAGAAATGATCTAGTTACTGAAGAGTAAAGTCATGTCGTCAATATCCACTTCTACCATTCTACCTCTACACCTGAACACCAAGCAAACTCACTGTCTGCAGCCAGAAAGACTGGCATTGCTTATAGACAAAAGCAAATCTATCAAACCCTTAAGCCAAATCCGTGCGTTTGTAATCTGTCATGGTCTGGAAAACCATCCAGTCTTGAATTTCAAGCTCCTACGCTCATATTGTTCTCTAAGCTGTCTTGAACATTCTGTGTCCCTCCTTAATCGCACCCAAAATCCTAGTGTTTACTTTTACACTGCCATTATCCATGGGCATGCCATAAATGATCTCCACTAACAAGCTTTTCTTTTCTATGTGCAAATGCTATATGAAGACGTAGAACCTAATGCATTCACATTG